TCAGGGAGCCGTTATTAATATGCGGGGGATTGAAATCGCATATGAACGCGAGCTTGTTTTTTTACTTTCACTTCTGAGATTCGCGATCACACCGTACGGAGCAGCACTCGGCAGTACTTACCACACATTTTACAAGATTAGATGTTTGTCAGTGGTGCTCAGGATCTGCAAATCATTCGCCATCCTATCAGTCATCTCTCCTTACTCTGTTTATGTGGTAAGTGAAACGTATGTACTGTAATGTAACATGCTACTGTTAGCAAGTGGCTAACCATGTCCCTTTAATCACTCTGTAGAACGCGTTATTTGTTTTCCGCGCCTTTCTGAATACGGATTCAGCCACACCTCTAACCCATTCGGGGGTGTTTGTGGTCCGCACAGCACTCTTATTTGACATCGTCCCAAGTTACTGTAACTGTTAAATGCTACTCAAGTCTTTTTTTTTTATGCCACGCAAGTCTACAGTGTGCGCGTGAGATGGTGTGTTCTTCTGTTGTCTTTGACAGCTTTTAGGTGCGTTATTGGCAGCGCCACCCTCTGCTTACATGAACGTGTCACCACTGCATCAGCACGGAAAACATGGGGAGATTTTTTTAAGACGATAATCGCACAACCTACTCGATATTCTATAATTAAATCAACTAATGGAATATTCGAAAATCGTGACCCATCCCTAGTTCTAAGCTGTAGTAAATTACACTACAAACATACACCTTTGTTTACTTCTGTGTGTTGCTCGGCAACCACTTTGTTGGAACCACAACTGTTTCTGAGGAACTACATTGTTTGGTGGAAGAATACGGTTTTTATTAATATCATTACACTTTATTTGCTCTGTTTTATTCTGTGAAACCTAACTACATATATGGAATAACCATTTTATAAAAGCAATAAGCCCCGTGAAGCTGTGGTTTACAGTGAATTTATAACAGCTAAGGAGGCCCTAACAATGCCCCTTAGCTGTTATAAATTCACTGTAAACCACTGGGGCTTATTGCTTTAAGCTACACCTGTTTGAAGTCGATAGAGTCAGCAAAGTCAATTTTGATAAGGTTCCAAAGCAAAACCACAGAGCAAAGTTGCGTCTTTTCCTCCACTTCTTTTCTTAATAATAATTACTATATTAATAATCACAATATAGCTATTATTTTATCTTTGTTGTTATAAGAACAGATGCCAAAAAAAACCAGTAAAACAAATATAAGAAAAAAACAAATAATGCATTCTTTTTCATTTTACGTCTAAACAAAAGCATTCAAGTAAGAAAAACAAATGATCAAATGTAAAAATCTCTTTAGTCGGTTCATTACAAATAAATTGATTATTAAAACTACAAAAGCAGTTCAATCAAGAGCAGTGAGTGATTCCCTCTTTTCTTTTATCGTTAGATTAAAGGGGTCATATGCTGCTAAAAAGAACGTTATTTTGTGTATTTGGTGTAATGAAATGTGTTTATGCGGTTTAAGGTTCAAAAAACACATTATTTTCCACATACTGTACATTATTGTTTCTCCTCTATGCCCCACCTTTCTGAAATGCGTCAATTTTTACAAAGCTCATCAGTCTGAAAAAGCGAGGTGTGCTGTGATTGGCCAGCTATCCAATGCGTTGTGATTGGCCGAATACCTCAAGCGTGAGACGGAAATGTTACGCCACTTACCATACTGTGATGCCCTGTCCGGCCGGAGCGA